GGGCTGGTGAGATCATCAGACTGCTGGCCACACACGTTACAACTGGATTGTACAATTCACTGATAAATATCACAACAACATTTGGCACACAAGACACAAGGCAGTCTTAGATTTGATGGGCTTGTTTGAAAACAGGATTATAGTTGAAAATGACATTTGTAGACTGCTCAACTTTGTGCTGAAATTGTACAATTCAAAACGAAAAAAAGATCTGTGGTCGGTCTTTACAGCTTTTACTTTACATTCATATTACAATTAACGGTGATTGTTAATGAGGAGGCGGAGATGATGTATTAAATATTATACAGTCACAACACAGGAACATCGGATTGGAGGCATCAGGAATTGATGGGTACAGATAGAACTGGGAATGTAGTGAGTCTGCACAATCAGATTGGGTGTATGGCGTCATCTTACAAGGATTCAGCTATACTCGATAAGCATGGTTGGAGCGTTCGCTCAGACTACATATTACAATCTATGGGACAGAACGGATAAATATGATCAGGACGTATATTCACATTAGACTTACGGGGACATTAATCAAGTGTATGGGGAAAACGTGAAATATATGGGACACAACCGAGTCTGATCTCAAGGGATCATCAGGTCAACTCTCACAAACTGATGATGAACTAGGATGGAATGTACAACCAGAGCGTGCACGGGGTAATTCGATAACCTCTCAGATACAACCGATGAGTAAGATACGAGCGTACAATCAGACTTCAGCGTATGGGGTAATCCTATAATCTCTCAGATACAACCGATGAGTAAGATATGAGTGTACAATCAGACTTCAGTGTATGGGGCAATCCTATAATCTCTCAGATACAACCGATGAGTAAGATATGAGCGTACAATCAAAATCTGAGTGTATGGGGTAATCCTATAATCTCTCAGATACAACCGATGAGTAAGATACGAGTGTACAATCAGACTGAGTGTATGGGGCAATATTCTATACTCTGAAATACAATTCCTGAGTATGATCGGGACATAGATTCAGATATGTGTGGGGCAAATTTACAAAATACCAGAAACTCCTATTAATTACGATAGAACTATACAACCAGATTGAATGTGTAGGTATAATCTCTCGGATACAATTGATCAGACTGTACAATCATGAGTGTATGGGGTAAACATAAAATATATGTGATACAACCGAGTTTGATCTCAAGTGGCAATCAAAATGTACAACCAGACCGAGTGTATGGGGGAATTCTGTGATATACGATAAGATCGTACTACCGGATTAAGTGTATGGGTTAATGATGGTAATTCAGACAACAGCTGGCCAAACACTATACAATCTGATTGTACAATTTCCTTTAACTTTTCCAAGACTTTGTAAGCATTTGACAGTAGTTGACATCAGATCCAAAGGAGGTTGTACAGTGAATGGGGCAATCTATCATTTAGGGAATACAACCGCTGAGCATATCGGGCATTTTAATATTGGTTTGCCACAACGGATGATGGGAACATCCAATCCGACTGTGTGTATGGGAGCATGTTCTCATCTCTGATAAATATAAACGTAATGTACAATCAGATGGAGTGTATGGGGCGATCTTATAGGAGATACTGCTGATCAGCATGACGGGAATGTAGAAGATTGTGTGTACCGGGTAATCAGAATATACGGGATTCAACTGAATGACGGCAATGGGGTTAGGGATGATGTGATTGTACAATCAGATTGTATGGGGTTAGAGATGGTGTGATTGTACAATCAGATTGTATGGGGTTAGGGATGATGGGATTGTACAATCATAGTGCGTGTATGGGGTGAGGGATGTGATTGTACAACCAGATTGTATGGGGTGAGGGATGATGTGATTGTACAACCAGATTGTATGGGGTGAGGGATGATGTGATTGTACAATCATAGTGCGTGTATGGGGTGAGGGATGATGTGATTGTACAACCAGATTGTATGGGGTGAGGGATGATGTGATTGTACAACCAGATTGTATGGGGTGAGGGATGATGTGATTGTATGGGGTGAGGGATGATGTGATTGTACAATCATAGCGCGTGTATGGGGTTATGAGTGACACGTCCTACACAGGGGGATGAGATCGCTGGAAGCAGCATTGATTACCTGTGGGTGTGCAGAGATCGGACGCCTTGCAGCAGGATGGAGCGATGTCGGAGTTGGGGGGTCAAAGCGATGTGGGGGTCCCCCTCACACAGCGGGGCCCAGCTTCAGCAGAGGGGACAGATCCCGATCCCCCCATCCATGGAGAGGGAAGGAGCTGCAATCCAAGTGTCTACAATCCACAGCGAGCGATGGAGCCTCCCGGGCCGGCCGGCCGCCGCATAGCCCACAGGAGGACAGAGCGATCCCAACGTGCACAGAGCAGAGGGGCGACCCGCACACGTCCCGTGTATGAGGAGCAATGGAAAGTGGACGAGACTTTTCCCTCCCCCCCCCTTCACTGCCAGTGCCTTCCTCCTCCCAGGACACGCCCCCCTGCCTGAAAGCTGACCTTCTACTCCTCCCCTCAACCAATCCCAACGTTCGCCTTGTGCCCGCTCCCTCCCATCCCCTCCTCCTCCTCCTCTCCTCTGGCACACATCGCTGCACACAGGGCTGGTTTGTTTGGATTGGAATTACTATGCTATGTGCGCCCTGGCTCTCCATTTTCCATCTCCTTCTCCTCTGCTTCCCCCTTCTTGCTACAAGGGAAGGTGAGCTACACTACCTGGGCCATATAGGGGCAGGTGACGTCAGAGGAGCCCCCTGTGACGTCACCTGTCTCAGGACCCCTATTGCAGGAGAAGGTCATGAGATTGCTTTAAGTTGATTTTACACCAAGAGAATTTTTCCTTCTCAGAACATTCGATTTTCTACTGGTGAGTGGGGTCAAACCGACATTCGTTTTCTACCGCGGCGACAAGAACAACGGTTTTCATTCGGGGACTTCCGTTCATACCAAAATCAAATGTTAAAAGGAAACGAAATTTTGAAGTCCGTTCAAACAACATCCGTGAAGTCTCTTGGCATTATCAAATGTACTGATGGCGCTTTCATACAAATGTTCATTTGAAAATCTACCAGTGTATGGCCTGCTTGGGGCTGGGATCACACCTTGCGTCTCGTGAACGTGCGTTTTTGTAGCGTGTGTTTGCCCTGCATGCCTAGGACAGCACATTCATTTCAATAGGACGCCCTAAACACAGCAAGCGTGCCAAAGAGGCGCATGTATACGTTCGGCATTGAAGTTTGTGCATTTTTTCCCGTGAAGAATCGTGTGTCAGCTTGGAGCATTTGGAGGGCCAGAACGATTGGCAGCAGGGGCGGACTAACCATTAAGAAACTGCCCGGGGGCCCGGGGGTCGGTAGGGGGCCCTGTGAGATGCCCCTGGTACCTTTTTCATAGGCTTTTTTAAGTTTGGGCAAGGACACAGGGGCCCCATGATCCCCTATTGCCCAGGGGCCCCATGAGTTGTCAGTCCGCCCCTGACTGGCAGCACAAGTGCAATGCACATTTTTCAAACATTTGTGAAAACTCACTTTTACACACATTCACAGAACGTGCAGAGATTAATGTCGCCTTAAACTGGCCATACACGTATAGATTTATATTCAAGAATTTTCCTTTCAAGAATATGTTTGATTTTCTAATCGTGGAGTCAAATCGATGTTCATTCTCCATAGCAGTTATGAGAAAATTCAAAGGGGCCGAAAGAAAAACTTCTCCATAAAACGAATTTTCGACCAGTGTATGTGGTTATCAATCAGAAATGACATTCATTTTAAAGTCGAATGTTAAAAGCAACAGACATTTTTCGAACGACATTCGTCCATTCATCGAATGTTCAAAGAATTGTCATACAACTTTTCTTACGAATATTCTTGTCTGAAAATGTACACGTGTGTGGCCAGCTTTAGGCATGTGTTTTTGCTGTGTTTTTACCACGTTTTTGCTGCATTTCTGGTGTGTATTTCACCTGTCAAAAGAGGACTCAAAAACACAACTGCGGGTGCATCTTTGATGATTAATTCCAATGGAAAGGTGAATTTTTGGTGTGTTTTTTGACCAAACAAAATTTGCACCAAAAATGCAGCAATCAGGATTTTACAAAACACAGCAGACCCGCAACTGATCACTGTGAAGACTGCAATAGGATTTCATGGTCATGCATTTTTCTTCCACTTTTGTAATGCAAAAGCAAAAGAAAAATAGCTCAGTGTAAAAGCAGCCTTAGTGGTTAGCACCTCCGCCTTGCAGCACTGGGGTCCTTAGCTGTAGTCCCAGCTAGGATACCATCTGCATGGAGTGTGCATGTTCTCCCTGTGCTTGTGTAGGATTCCTCTGTGTGGTCTAGTTTACTCTTACACTCTAAGGTCTCATGCACACTGAGCATTAGTGTTACTAAACCCAGGGTCCTGCATTCACTATATCTGGTCTCCCACAGTACACACAACATGGAAATGCAATTATTTTAGTAAATATAAAAGGCTAAATACCTTTTCTTAGCAGTTAGAGCAGTCTCAGTGTTCAGCAGAGCGCTGGTTACAGTTTGTAGGAGGAGCTTTCTTTCTGCTCTAGGAGGATGCAGAACCCCTGACCTCTATCTGGACAGTGCACTCTACCAAAAAAAAAACCTCTCTAGCAATACACACCAAACTGAGCATGTGCAGAGTGTCTCCACATGATATATCTTATTAGGAGGTAAGAGGGGGACACGGAGAAGGGGAGGATCAGAGAAGTCAGGATCAAACTGCATTTTTACACAATGAAGAGGATTAACCTCTTAGGTTCTACAGAGAGTATAACAAGCATGCTTTACTGCATATACAGACTGCTAAAAACACTGCTTTTAGGGGCTCCTGGCATTTTTTTCCCTGCCTCTAAATGCCCTTACATGTTAGCCTATGTGTCTATGCATGAATAGGTGTTTAGACGAAAAAGCCTTTAACCACCTCTCGTCCGGCCGTTATATATAAACAGCCGGAGGGTGGCAGTGCAGGAGCGGGTGGCTGTTTATAAACAGCCTCCCCGCCCCCTGCTGCTGCACGCTCCCTGGGAGCACGCAGCACCGCGATAGAGTGCCCGCTGTGTCCTCCGGACATAGTGGAACATCGATTGTCGTGAGGTCCCGATCATGTGTTCACTGATTGGCCAATCAGTGATCACATGCAGAGTAGTAAGCAAGATGTCACTTCTGACATCATTGCTTACTACGTGTGAAATCTGTGAATGATCACAGAGGTCACATGGTAAAAGGCTATTCACAACAGCCTTGTACCATGTGACAAGCTGTGACCAATCTCAGCTCTCACAGTATTTCTCAATGGCTGCAAGAATGCAGACAGAGAGAAGGATACATGATTGCTTTTATAGCCTTTATGGGTGTAAAAGCAATCAGTGTAAAAAAAAAAAAATCTTCATCACCCTCCACAAGTAGTACAGTGTCACCATGGTGACACTGTACTGCTAGGGTGACAGTATTTAAAAAGAAAACAAATAATAATATAAAAAAATTAAATACAAATTTAAAAAAAGGTTTAAAAATTATAATATTTGGTTATAAACTAATTTGGGTTATTTTTTTTTTTTACTAAAAAGATAACGGAATAAATTTTGGCCAAGATTTATGATGAAATATTATTTATTTGCTAAATTTTATAAGAAAAACACTTTTTTTCAAAATGTTTGGACTTTTTCATTTACATAGCAAAAAAAATAAAAATCCCAGCATTGAATAAATACACCATCATACATTAATAGATTTTTTTTTATTCATCAACATTTCCTCCATCTATGCTGAGCAGTGCAGCTGGACAAATCTTCCGCTGAGACTATTGTATTTTGAAAGCTAGCACAGCTGTCAGAATAAAGTGGGCACTGCCAAACTGACTGCAGCTGATTGGCTCTTTCTGTTTGGACTAAGTCACCTCACCACCCCACCTCTCCACCTCGTCCTATCAGAGAGCAGCTTGAGAAAAATACAAGGCATTCAGTGAATGGAGCCAGTGCCAAGCGGGTGACCCCACCCCAAGGGGCAGCCACTTGGCACAGATTCTAGCAGATAGTGGCAATCACTGTAGTCGCCAATGACAGTCATCATCTGCTTCCACAGGGATTCCACAGGTATGGCACATGCTTACTCAAAGTGGAGTTCCAGGCGTTTTTGTGTTTATTAAAAGTCAGCAGTTTCAAAAAACTGTAGCTGCTGATTTTTAACAAACACACACTTACCTGTCCCGGGGTCCAGTGGTGTGCTCACCCGTGCCGTCCTTCTCTCCTTCTTCTCTCCACGGCATCAGCATCTCAACTGTGGGCACCAGGCTGTGACAGCTTGCAGCTTCACAGCCGTGTGCCCACTGCGCATGCGTGAGTCGCGCTGCACCTCCTGAACCGGCAGTCTTCTGGGACCTGTGAACGAGGGGGCCAAACTGTCAAAACCAGGTATCCGCTCCCCACCAAAAGGTGCCAGATATGACAGTGGAGGGGGGAATAGGCAAACAAGCGGAGATTCCACTTTTGGGTGGAACTCCGCTTCAATGTTGGCCCAAGCTGAAGCACTGTAACTATGTTAAAAAAAAGATTCAGCTGTAAATTGAGCATGCACTATGCCATCAGATTATACTGTACATCTACCAACACCTATGCGGTGCCGGGGTCTGCACTATGGAATGCATAGTTTAGGAAGGTCCTCATATTACATCATTGTGGTTGATCTATAGGAGATCGGTCGGCTGAATGAACAAAAAGACCCATCTATGGGCAGCCTTAATGGGAATACTAACTCCTGTGTCCACTATGCCTTTCCCTTCTGTAGAATCCTTTCACCGGAACGGCCTCCTGCTGGAACATATATGAGGATTGATACTGTACTTACCTTACTTGTGGCATGACCTGCAAGTACTCAGTTATGTTTGTGGTTTGGGTGTGTGCGTTCATGCAAGGACCTGTGTGCCTCTGTGCCATGTGAAAACAGTGTTGTACAATGTTCATTATGTTAGATCATATTGGTCCCTACAATGTGCTCTATGGAAATATTGGACATCTTGTAACCCTTTCACTGCTTGAGGAAGTGAATTTATCTACAAAACACATTGGTCACACTTATATCTGTGAAATGGGAATTCTGTTCCAATAATTGTTTCATCTATGTCTTTGGAGTTTTGTGTATTTTAGCAACCATTTATGGTGTTTGTTAATACATGTTTATATTACAACTGAATTCTGTGCTAATAAATTATAGTTTTTTATATGCATGTCAAGAGTGTTATTTATTTATGGTACTTATATAGCGCCGTCAATTTACACAGCGCTTTACATATATATCGTACATTCACATCAGTCCTTAACGCCCCGTACAATCTAAGGTTCCTAACTCACATTCATACATACACATACCAGGGCCAATTTAGACAGGATCCAATTCACCTCCCAGCATGTCTTTGGATTGTGGGAGGAAACTGGAGTACCCAGAGGAAATCCATGCAGGCACAGGGAGAACATGCAAACTCCAGGCAGGTGGTGCCGTGGCTGGAATTCTAACCAACGACCCGAGTATTGCCAGGCGGACGTGCTAACCATTTAGCCACTGTGCTGCCCTGAGTGTTAGCGTTTAAAAATCCTCTATTCTCACTTTTGATATGTTGTGCAGGGGATTACTCAAAAAGTAATAAAAGGATACATTAATAAAAGGGTAAACTGAGATACTTCTGCTACATTAAGATAATTCTGCATAATAAAAGGATACTTTGAAATGTTTCTGCTACATTGAGATACTTCTGCATACTAAGGATCCATGCACACTAGCATTTTTTTAAAGGTAAAAAATGATGGGAAAAATGCTGGATAAAAAACGCTGGTAATAGGGATTTTTTAGTAGCATTTTAGCAGCGTTTAGGAGCGTTAGCATTTTATTAGGGTTCTTACAGTACATGTAGGAGGAAAAAAAAGCTGTTGAGAGCATTTTAGTAGAGTTTAGCATTTTTTTCTGCTAGAAAAAAGCTACCAAAAACTCTACAAAAACTATTTTTTTTCTGCTCCTAAACACTGAAGCTTGAAAAATGCTACTAGCCTAAAATAGTGTTCATGGACACATAGGATGACACTATTTAGCCCTAGCAGAACAAAATGCTGATAACAGCTTCTAGGAGCTTAAAAAAAATTAGTGTAGCATGGAGCCTTACCCTAAGTTCACACCTAAGTGTTTTCCGCAGCATTTTGCAGAAATGCAGTACAGTCCATTTAACATGATTTCCTATGGGACGTATTCACATCTCCACGTTTTCACCTGGTGCATTTTTTGGAAAGGGTCAGGGACTTTTTTGAATGCAAAAAGTTGCATGTTTGGTTCTATAGACTTCAATGGAAATGCTGAAGAAAAGTGCATTTTTGACACATTTGTTATGCGTTTTGCATTTTAAATCTGCCTAGCAACAAGAAAAATTTTAAAAATTTAGAAAAAAAAGCGCATCAAAAAGGCAGCAAAAACGTAATGTAGAAACGGGTCAAACGCAACCTGCATAGGTGTGAACCTAGCCTTATGGATAGCTTGAGATACTTCTTCTACATTGATATACTTCTGTATAATAAAGGGATACTTTAAGATCCTCTTGAAATTTATAAAAATGACAGCGTCAAAGCCTGTGAAATGCAGCATGCCCCTTATGGTGGCCACACAGTTGTTTTTTTTTTCATCCAATCAATGTCCAAGTCGATCACAACCATCGCAGCTACAATTAAACTAACAATCAGATCCAATAAAACCGAGTCAATCATTGAGAGGAATATTATTGATAGTTTTTTGCATCAGTCTGCAGCATTAAGATACTTTATTTAGGAATAAGATCATAAACTAAGATAATAAGATTTTCAAAGATCAGATTATGAGATCAGGTGATGGAGCCAGGGATGCAACTGATAATTTAGGATTATGAGTTGCAATCACATCTTAACTATTGATCGAATTCACTTTCCCGTGTTTGGCATATTGATTGAATAAGTGGTTGACTGTAGATCAATTATTCCTATGAGAGGAGATTGACCAGAAAAGAAATCGATAATTTGTGGAAGCATGTATGGCCACTATTAAGCTAGCACAGTGGCTAAATGGTTAGCATTTCCACCTGGCAGTACTAGGGTTGTTTGTTCGCATCCCAGCCACGGCACCTCCTGCCTGGAGTTTGCATTTTCTCCCTGTTCCTGTGTGGGTTTCCTTCGGGTACTCCGGTTTCCTCCTACACTCCAAAGGCATGCTGGTAGGTTAATTGACTCCTGTCTAAATTGGCCCTAGCATGTGTATGAATGTAAGTTTGGGGCTTTAGATTGTACACCCCTTGATGTGAATGTACAATATATATGTAAAGCGCTGCGTAAATTGACGGCGCTATATAAGTACCTGAAATAAATAAATAGATAACGACACAGGCAATTGTTTTGGCACAGATTAATCACTGTTACAACTCACTAATGCCAGTGATTAAAAGTGATTTGTAGCTAGTGATTTAATCTCTAGTGTCACTGGAAATTTTTACAGTATTGAGTTTTGCTCTTCTACATATAATTTTTCTACTGATCAAACTGCTGATGAATGGCTTGCTGGAAAGCTGTAGTTCGATCTGCCTAGCAGTCAATAAACTGCAGTGCTGATTAGTGTATTCTGACAGTAGAGGTTTTCCTGTGAGAAAACATTGGCCAGCAGGGAGGGTTCCTGCATCCACTGCAAATGTGTGGATGGGGGAATCGGTTCAGTTTTTTTTCCTTCAGTCCACTGGCTTAACAAAAAAAACTGAGCTATGTATGGCCAGCTTTAGTGATCCTATAGAAAATTATTGTGATTTTCTTAGTGACAAGTCAAGGGGGTAATCACTGCCAGAAAATCATCCGTGTGTCATCAGCCTTAGGGCGTTTGGGAAGCACTGATGAGCGTTAGGAAGTACACTGGCCAACCCTTTTTTCCACCTGGTGTATAGTTAGAACAATATAAAGCAGTGACAAAATATTGCTACTGGATATTATGCAACTTGTCCTTGTGCAATACTGTTATTCTTTATTCTATTTAAATTGCCTGGACCACAATTTAAATAAAAAGCCCTATTGTTCAGTGAAAGCTCAGCACGTACCCTGGAGTGTAATATCTAGGGACACGTTTAGTAATAATAAATTCAGTAGCT